TGTGTCAAACACCGCGTCAACGTCCCCCCACCCCCACCCGCTGAACGAAGTTAAAACGATCGATTTTTACCCTCGCGATTCGACGCCTGCTTCGCGGGGGGTAAGAATCGTATTTTAGTCGATGGGCGCGTCGTTACTACCCGACAAAGACGCGTGGTGACAACTCGTTGAAACGTTTCGACGGCTTTGGCGGCGCGACCGAGGTGGGATTCTCGCACGCGAGACGAGGTGCGGGATTGATCGTTCGAGTGAGACTGGAATATTGGCACGCGAATAACACGCGAGAGCGACGTTTGAGATGGACGTGAGAGCGGCACAGGATCGGCACGCAATCAGGACGTGGGAGATTGACATGCCGTTTTGACGTGTGCTAGAGATATGTTGATCGACAAGCCAGATCGACATGAACATGTGGGACTGACGTGCGGCATTGAGATGTGGGACGTGGGAGTGAACATTTGAGATATACAATTGACATTTGATGCACTGCCAATGCCGAGATCATGACCACACTCATGTTTCTGACACGTCACCTAATTAAAATGTTTCTGGCTCTGGGTCTTATGTCCTCAACATCTATGGACGTTGTTTAACGATTCAACTTCCTTCTATGTCCAATTATTTTAAGCGACGGATCCATGCAAAGTTCCATTTATGGATCACCGCACACACAAGCTGTCATCTAACCATGATCAAGAACCGATGCGAATATAAGGTGAATATTACTTTTTGGCACAGGGCTTCAATCGATCACTTAAAATATTGTGCTACTTGATGCAGCCATTCGCCTCCTTAGATGACAATAATTGCGATATTCTTTATTTACACGGGAAAGTGTCGCTGACTCAAGGCTTCCTTCAGGAGGGTCCTGCGTCCAGATGGTTGGCCAATTCTATGAACAAGTGCTTGGCATGTTTGAGGAATCCAGACTGCCCAGATAAAAACTCACGCATATTATAAGGGGGGATACACTATCAAAGCTCCGCCCAGATAGATTCAACCCCATCTCTGTTCTACCACCCGGCCACTGCAAAGTCCAATCTCACATCCCTTCGTATTCACGGGGCAGGTTTCACACCCACTACGAACCAGACTCAACCCCACATGGCCTCCGAGATCCATTTAAAAGCCATCACAGCGAGCTCGAAGTGGAGTGTGCAGACTTGGCAAAGCTTGGAGATCGTCAACTCCCTCCCCCCGCCTTCTACCGCAACTCCGGCTCCGACTCTGCGCACTCCACACCCGATCTGAGCAGCGACTTCGCCCGAAACGGACCCAACCTGCGTCATCGCGCACGCCGCCGCTAGCGGCCAGCCCTGCCACAAAATATGAAACGGGTTTGTGTAGCCGGTTGAATAAAAAAAAACACACCTTTGGGTAAATGTTCTTACGCCCAGCGTCTAAAGTAATGGTCCGAGTGAGACGAAGTATAAAGGTTCGCCAACATCAGCACGCGATTGGATGTGTCGCGGCTCGGGGAAATCACGATTCGACTCCCGAGAAACCGCCGTGGGGGAAATGATGCTTATTGTAGTGGCCTCTAGTGGCTGGAGGGGTGGGGGGGGGTCACACAAACCGTACAACGTAATATCAATTGAAAACAAACACAAAATAAACCGACGCTCGCTCCCATGTGCGGCACGGCGGAGAGTCGGAGACGCGTCGATGGTGGTGCCACTACAATCCCTGGCTCTCAGTGGCAAAGTGGAAAATTCCACTGAAAGTATCGAGAGAGAAAGAGACGTCATTTGCAACTGGCCGCAAATCTCTCCACAAGGGACGCTGCTGGTCAGGGATTTTCAGACGGGTTTCTGGTTGCCGGGTCGGGAGGGGCGAGCAGTGAGGGATAAGGGTGGGGTGGGGGGCGCTAATGTTTTCCTTATGTCGCCTTCATTAACCAAATCCCTTTAATTTTGTTTTCACTTTGTCGGCGTACTGAAACGGTTACATTTGGACGCGTTGTGGATCCGACTTGGGGATTGTCTCTTGGGCAACGGGCCCCACTGACAAGCGAGTTAAGAACAATCATCATCATTGTTGAAAATAACGCTTCTTCAACCGAGGTCAAAGCCATCGACGGCATCAACTCTGTCCACCTGCAACGTGACAGGGAAGATGCCACTCTGCACGACAGACACAAGCAAGCACCCCAAACAACATCCAGGGGGGGAATCAATCTGGATTTGAAGTTTTCGTGACTGCAAGGAATCCCTGTAACATCCAGGATGGGGGGAGGGGGGTGTTATTCTCCCCACGCCCTCCCTCGGCAGGCGGATTTCGTGCTCTCCGAGCCCCGATTTGTCGACGCAGCGCCACGAACGCGACCGCTTCCTCAGCTGCGTGCCGCTTCTCTGGCCCGAGCCACCGCTGCTAATTGTTGTTAACACGAATAACACTTCCGAGGGGGCGAAACGAGGCGTTGGCGAATGTTACTGAAACCCGCGCGAGTTTTCTTCGTCGTCATTATTATTATTGCTGCTGCAGTGTCTTGGCTACCAGCACGGCTAGAGAGGAAGGAGGTTCTTGCTCGGGCAGTGAAGGTTTTTTTTTCATGGACAGCCTCAACATGCAGGAGTTGTACTCCACGCACACAACCCCCAGCTCCCGAAGCGGTGGCGATTCAAACAGGGGGGGGGGGGGGGGGGGCAGCTCCTTCAATGCTTTCAAATGGCACCGTTCCCCGTGGTCAAGTCAATCGATCCTCTGCCCTGCAACCAAGAAGGGTTCCCCGTGTGGCCGCATAAAACGCATGCGCACGCGCGCTTACGCGTGTTCATATACAAGCAAGAAGGACTCCGTACAGAAGCTGGTTTTTTTCTTACAGAGTAAGGCAAGGGCTCAGACAGCAAACGCGTAAGGCAAACATTTAACTACAAAACACATTCAGAAAAAAATAAATACAATTAACAGGAAATGTCTTCCCCTCGGCATTACAATATACTGTAGGTGTCATCGATTAATCACACCAAATAAAGATTTCTAGTTCTTTTTAGAGTTTTTTGTTTGTTTGTTTTTAATATATATATCGTCATCTCTGACTTAGCGTGATTATGTTACAATTTACAGTTTCTTGTGGAAAACAGTATGCGATGTCATGATTTAAAAATAAAATCTGGCGGCTGACGAGTTTCACGGTCGACTGCACAATCGCGCGCGGGTTCCCCTCTCGACACAAAGCGCCGTGAAGGGGGGCGGTCGAACGCGCCGATGAACGGGGGGGGGGGGGGGGGGGGCAGCAGGACACGATCACGACACGGGAACTGGCACGTCGTCGTCGTTTTCTTAGAAGATTGCAGGTAGAGTGTTTCACGTGCCACCGAGCGCGCGCCGCCGATATATCCAGCTGGGTGTGCCGTTTGCGAGGACATTTGTTTTGAGACTACGCAAGCCCCGCTGAAAACGGAAAACGGGGCCAGTCTCAAACGTGGCAACAAACAGACCCGGGTCGGTTAGTCCGTGTACTGAAAAAGGCACTTTGCCCAAAACCTCAACTTGCCGAGGTCGAGTGTGACATGTGACTGACGCAGTTGTGCTAGAACGATGACCGCCCGGCATTGCCTGTGACGAAGTCCCTTGATAGGTGAACACGTCTGGGTTAAAACACGGTCAAATTTTTGAACTGCATACGCACGGCTGTTTACTTACGCAGGAGGGCTAAGGCATTTCAGTGAGTTGGGATATTTTTTTTTAAGTTCTCATAGTTTTTTTTTTCGTGCAAAATGGTTGTAACGTTTCGTAAATGTTCACGAGTGTTTGAGTCGGGCCAACGATGCCACCTATTTTTTAAGTACAAGCTGCACACACGTTGTTGCTACGGAGTCGGATGAAAACCCAGGATGTATTAAAAACCGGTCACTCAAAAGTGGAGGTGGGTGGGTGGTGTTCGCAGCTGGGGGTATGAGAGCTGGCACCGACTCCGAATTGAAGGGAGACGATGTCGCAAGGCGCGAGCGATCGTTGCCGATTATAATCGATGATAATTATCGATGGGCCCAGGGAAGTCCTGGCCGCCACATGGGGCCACGTGTGCCTCCTCCCGCGTCGGGACAGGCCCACGATCGCGCATTGCCCACACCCTTCGCCGCTCGCCCCTCCAAACGCAGAGCCGCAAGGTTCCGACCGATGTCTCTCGGCACGCTCTTGTCGTCCTCCAAAACGAGACCAAAAATGACGGGAAAGTTGAGTTCTAAACGCGAACTTCACAAAAAACAACAGCAACAACAACAAAAAGTGGCCGTGTGAGACCGCGGAGACGCGACAACGCGGCTGGGCAAAGTGGAACGACGGCCGCCCGCCAGTGGGGACGTCCCGCCGAGGAGATGGAGCGCGCGCGTGGGAATGGCGGAGGTGAGGGACGGGACTGGATCCCCCCTCCCCCGCCCGCCCCCCCGCGGAATCCGCTCTTGGCGAGCCGAGCTTCGCGCGAACGAAGAAAAGTCGCCGCGTTGTCGCGGCCTGACGAGGCGAGGGGCGGCGAACACTTTGGGCTGAGCGGTGTGTCGCGTCGGGTCGCGTGGCCTTAAGATTTGGCGAGCTGCCAGCTTGTGCGAGGGGACCGATTTGAAGTCGATTTAAGTTTCACCTTTTACTGTTGTCGCGAGCTGCATTGTGCGCAACCCCGACGGCTTTCGCGCAGTGTTTTGTAACCGTGCGGTTTTATTTGTGTCAGCACTATTCCGAATATCCGAGTCCCACGCAGGCGACCTCCACCTGCGGCAACCCCGTCTGACCCGCGCGCCTGCCCAGTGCCGCCCCCCTCTGGGCCCCGTGGAGCGCCAGGTGCCGTCCCGCGCGAAGGGACCGAAGCGAGGGCCGTCGTCCCTCACTGGAAACAACCGGTGTTGAGCAGCTTGGAGTGAGTTGAGGTAATAAAAGACCACACCGCCGCGCGAGTGGTCCAGAGACATTGCAACGAACAATTAGAACCGCGACGCAGCGCTGCTGGGGGGTAAAGGGGTTTGGTTTTTTTTTCTATTTTTTTTTACACGTTTACCGTCAACACAAAAGAAAACATTTATTTGAAAAGCGACTAGGGAGATGGTTGAAGACAACTTGTAGAAAGATGGACTCTCACTGTAAACTAACTGAACAGCAAAATAATAACTTTGTTTTGTTATCAACGACATGCATTTCTTAAAATCTTCAACAGCACGATTCCTTTTTCACGGTCACACGACAACGCACTTTTTCCTCTCCCCCCCCCCTTCGTTTCTCTCGATAATATCACAAAATAAATAACATAGCAAATGCTCTCTTTTCAAATATATGAAAATCTTTAGAATTACAAAAGGTTCGGTGAGGAATTGATTAAAACGCTAAAGAAAAAATAAACAGTCGGAAAGACTAAGAAAGTCACGCAATGATTCAAAGTCCGGAGAGGGCCGACCAACGCCTCCCCCCCGTCCAGCTTCATTTGCCCCCCTTTCCTCCCACAATCCTTAGCTCCCAAAGTACTCACGTAATGAATATATACAACCGGTAATTGAATGTAACGGAACTGGTTTACACCTGAGTTTGCAGAGATGCTTCTTTGTAGTGTTTACCGATGAGAATATAAACGGTTAAAACAGATATCTGAAATGCACCATGATGATGACGACGACAGTGGTCGCGGTTTCAACTGAAACGAAATGAGGAATAAAAGAAGCGGACCCTGACGAAAGGGCGCGAGATTCGAAATAACAAAAACGGCGGCGGCAAAAGCAGCGGAGGGTTGAAAGGAGTTGCTGGGTCTGCTGCTGCTGCGTGCGGGCCGGTGAGCCGGCGGGCAGACGGGCCGGCGGGCAGACGGGCAGACGTGCCTGAGAGAGCAAGCGCAGGCGATGGATTGGATGATGGACGCACGGACTGCAACCGCTGTCCTTCGGAACTAAAATCCATCGTGAGATTAGGCGTGAATACTGCAGAGAGCATCTTGGGCGGGCACGAGGGGGGAAACATTTATTTTTATTTATTATATAAAACGGCCTCTTAAAATTATACCTCAGATTTTTTATTTTTTTTGAAAAGGTAATGATCATCATCATTATTATTGGTTGCTCAAATTTGAAATAAAAACCATTTTATTTCGTTGAGGCAATTCCCACGTCTTGGGTGAACCACTCTGCTTTGACGAAGTAAAAAAAAAGAAACCCCAGCAGATTAACGGGATAAAACACGTTACTTTGTTTTTCAAACGCTAAATGCCTATCACAGTTAATCAGGAAAATGCAAAGCGCAAGCGACAGACGCACCCCCCCCCCCCCCCCCCCGAGCTCCCTCCAACATTCCTTATGTACAGCCGCGGTTCAACGGCGTTTATTTGCACGTGCGCGATTTTCGGATGAGGAACAAACGTCAAAACGAATGTTCCTGTTTGTAATGGGTTAGCACTGTTTAGCAGCAGTTGTCAGCACTGAAAGTGTAGGCTCAGAGAAGAAGAAAAACACATTACCAAGAGAGTAAAACAAAAATACAAAATCCTCTGGTAAGGGATGTGCAAACCTATTGAGTTAAGTGCTGTGTTAGCTTTCTCCCAGAACACCTGCCCACCCCCTCTTCACTATTACACGCTGCTTTTGAAACATTCGAAAAGCACAAAACTTGACCCACACGCACGGACGCAACCCCGGCTACAAGATCGGGAACGACGAGACGGAGACGCCGGCCATCGCACAAGCTCGTGAAGATGATGTCCCGATATGCCGTTCCGTTGGGGACAACGGAACATCTTGAGGAACGCAGCAGATGCAGCAGCAGCAGCAACGCTGTAGCCACAAAGGTCACCAACACGAGACAAAATAACAAACCCTCCGAAGAAAATAATGAAAAGCGTTTTCGTATATTCCACCAACGTCGTGTACATTTGGCATCTTAAGATTCCGCAGCTGAATCGGGGGTGGTGGGGGGGGGGGTGACGGGAAATCAAAACCCACAAAGGAACCTCCCCTCGCCTCGGGGTGCTCTCAAAAGTCTTCAACAAATTCGTCGTCAGTCGCTCGACGGTCCCCAGGAAAGTTCTGCTTTCTTGCCGACAGTGCTGGAACTGTAGTGAGAATCAAGTGCCGCACAGTTCTGTCGAGCGGGTGCACTTCTTGATAGTAGTGTGTAGCTGGGTCAACAGAGGCTGGCACAAACACTGTTTCGTCGCCTCTTTGACAACAAAATAAAAAAAAAAACTTCTTCCTTTGAAAAACCAAGAGGGTGCTGCTCTTTGCTCCAAAAGCTGTCCCGTGGATTGGTTCGCTGCCAACAGAATGAAATTAAAAAGGTAGTTAAAGTGGAGACTCGGAACTCTTCCTCCCACACGATGGCTTTTTCAAAGCGGACCGATCGGATTCAGGGTCCCGCGGCGACGTCGCCCCGACTCTCAAGATGCCGGGCGACTCCGTAGCCCGCTTCACGGCAGGCGCCGGAGGGACACCGGCTTCAAGACGGAGGGACAATCGCAAACGGCTTTTCCTGCCGTCCCCCAAACCCGGCCGCTCCGCCGTTTCGTCACAAACCAATGGGAACGAACAAGCAACAACAACGAAACAATTAAAAATCACTTTGGTGGAAGGGCCGCCTCAACTCCCTCTCTTCCCCCTGCTGAAACGGCATCGTCGCGTCGAGGCCGGAGGTTACAGGGCGCGCACAAACGGCGGAGGGTCCCCTACGGCGGCCGCGCCGGCGTTATGACGGCGACGACCTGAGCGGCGGGCTGCTGTAGCGAGGGTCGTTGGCTCGATTGGACACGCCGAACGGCTGGTGCGCTTCGTAGTTGCTGCAGCCGCCGCTGCCCGCGCAGCCGCCCGGCACGGCCGCGACCGCCGCCGCCGCCGCCGGCCCGGCCGGGGGGCTCGCCTGGCTGCCGCCGCGGAAGTGAAGCGAGAGTGGCCCGTTCTCGCGGCACCGCGGCCCGCCCGCAGCCTGCGCGGAAGCCGCGCCGCCGCCGTGTAGGCTGGCCCCGTTGGGCTCGCCGACCCCCGCGCCGGAGCTGGATGGGTCGAGCGGCGAGCACTCGGTGTTCTCGCCGTCCTGGTCGCTCTCCTCGGGCTCGGCGTGCTGCCGGTTCTCCTCGCTGTAGAAGAAGGACATCTCGCGGAATGACGCGTCCAGTTCGTCCTTCAGTATGGAGATGAAGTCCACGAAGTTAGGCCGCATCTTGGGGTTGTACTGCCAGCAGAGCGACATCAGCTCGAACCTGGCGGGCACACACGGCACAAAGGGGGGGGGGGGGGGGGGCGAGGGGACGGGCGGGACGGGTCGCACGCGAGACCGGGGAAAGGGAGGACAGGTAGGAAGGACATAGGTCACATCGTCATTGTCAGCCGTGATCTATCCACGACTGGATGAAGGCCTCCAAGGCCTTTGCGGTCCATCCAGCCCTCACACATGGGGTGCTTTCGTCGCTCTAATTTCTGCAGTTGCTGTCTTCTCTGGCGTGTTCCCTCCTATTGGCTGCCATTCCGTCGTTAGTTCTGACCACCAACCATCATCGCTGCTCGTGATGCGTCCTGACCAAGCACACTTAAAAAAATTCTTAACGCTCAAAAAGCTGACAATGCGCTTATGTTCTCCGATCCATGTGTTCCTCTTTCTGTTTCTCGGTATAATTCCAAGAGGTCATGAGGACAAAACAACAACATAAATTTTGACTGCGTACTAATCATAAACACTACACACGATCCAAAGCCAGTGAGCAATGCAAGGAGCGGCCAAAGAGTTGACGAACTGGACACCAGCGCGAAAAGCGGAACCAGCCACGCATTCCTGTGCGAAACATCTTGCGCAATAATCCACCAACTGCGGTTGATGTGGACGCACGGGGCCCCCTTGTTCCCGAGGACCTCGCGTCAGAACGACCGCCGTCAATACCGCCATCCTCTCCCGCACTGCGAATCCGGTCCTTTCTAACAAAAAGCCGATCGCGGTGATGTCCAATTGTTCGTAGTGAATCCAGGCGTATGCCTATATAAAGACACAGGACTGCGTAGCCGCTCTCTGGGACGGGGGGCGGGCGGGCGGGCGGGCGGGCGGAGGTGGAATCGCGGCCAGTTTGGCGAAGTCGCGTCTTGGCACGCACGGTCGACCTGCGGTCATTTTACAATGTGTGCCCAGTCGCCAACGGCAACAGTCGCTCGCAAACACGAGCGAGCGTCGGGCCAACTCTGCTGTCGAGCGACGCGATGCGACGATCCTGTCCCCACGGTTGATTGACGGATTGTCGCGGTTCAGGCCTGTGATGATTTTTCGCCTCCTTTTTTTTGCCGTCTCATTTGCAACTTTTACATTTTTTACGTCTCGTTTTGGTCACGCTTGCGTTTTGGTCCATTCGGATACATTTTGCACATAATTCACATTGCCGCTATAAACCAATACATTCTTACACCTGCGATTCGATGTATCGTGAACTAGTGGCGTAGACATCGAGTACGCAGGCGGCGCAACTGCAGGACCCACGGGCCGGAGGGGCCCCAGGTGCCAGGCTATGAGGGGGCCCCATTTTATTCCTTGCGGCAGGTGCCCATGCGAACCACGCTGCATCATCACAGCCGTGAGCACTTTGCCCATTATAATGGATGCCTATTTAAGCACACGCCCGGCTACCACGTGGCAGGAAAAAGGCAGTGCCCACCCCCCTACGGGACCAACTGTGAAAAAGACCTTCACAGCTCATCGGATTCCTCCAGTCTAAAAAAAAATTCTGATTCTAATGCAGGAGGGTCGGCGCGTGAGCGAGGTCCGAGAGAGGGGGGGAGGAACTCACAGCCGATCTTCGCAGTTCTCCGGCCGCTCCAGGAGGCCGCCGTCCATGACGAACTTGAGCACCTGCTCGTTGGACATCCCCTGGTAGGGCTGCTCGGCCAGCGTGGAAATCTCCCACAGCACCACGCCAAAGGACCTGCGCACGCGTCGCGACGGCCGTCACACGGATCGTCACGAGAACCACTCTCGCGGTTGTTGATACAGGTCATACAAACCCGGCCGTTACAACGACCATCACGAGGACCGTCACAACGACCGTCACAACGACCGTCACAACCGCCGTCACAACCGCCGTCACAACCGCCGTCACAACCGCCGTCACGACGACCGTCACGACCGCCGTCACGACGACCGTCACGACCGCCGTCACAACCGCCGTCACGACGACCGTCACAACGACCGTCACGACGACCGTCACAACGACCGTCACGACGACCGTCACAACCGCCGTCACAACGACCGTCACAACCGCCGTCACAACCGCCGTCACAACTGCCGTCAGAACGACCGTCAAAACCGCCGTCACAACGACCGTCACAACGACCGTCACAACAGCCGTCACAACCACCATCACACCGACCGTCACGACGACCGTCATAACCGCCGTCACAACGACCGTCATAACCGCCATCACAACAACCATCACAACGACCGTCAAAACCACCGCCAACAACGACTGCTACCACAACTGCCGTCACAACGACCGGGGTCGCCGAGGCTTGGCGGTGGCGACGGCCGCTGGGAACGACCGAGGAACTGGCGCGGTGGAGGTGGAGGAGGGCGGTCGCCGCTCGCACTCACCACACGTCCGAGTGCGTCGTGAAGACCCCGTCCTTGAGGGACTCGGGCGCCATCCAGCGCACGGGAAGCAGGCCCTTGCCGCCCTTGCGGTAGTAGTCCGTCTCGTAGATGTCGCGCGTCATGCCGAAGTCTGCACACCGCAAGCACACCGCCCCATTCCGGCATCAGCGCCCTCGCCGTTCGCACGGTGTGTCCGATCGGGCAAAGTGTCCCCATGCCGTGGGTCCTAGACCAGTGCTGAACATTGTAAATTAAACTATTTTTATTTTACCAGGTAAAGCCCACTGAGCTTTGTAGCTATTTTTCAAAAGCGACCTGGCCACAAATGAGAGCTCAACGAAGTGGCTCATCAAGTGGAAATTTATAGCAGCCAAATACTCTAAACGCATGTTTCTAAATGTGGAGGGAAAAACAGGAGGACCCGGAGAAAAATCCACGTAATCACGGGGAGATCGTGCAAACTCCAAATACACAGCAGGCGTCAGGGTCGGGTTCGAACCCACGACCTCCTGTCACATCTCGTCACCGTGACGTCCATGGCAGAGAGACCACACTCAAACCGCTGATGACTTCCCACCATTGTGGTGATAATATTTGGTGACATTAATAATCAGTCGCTTCTCTCATTCCACTGCGAGGTGAAGGCCTCTACACAGTAAGTACATTTAGAAACACGCCACCCTTGTTTGTCACGAGTGGAGTGGCAGTCGTGTGGGGGTTGTTTGACCATACTTCGCCACGTTGGTTAGTGCAGACTGGTGAAGGGCGCAGGACCGGTTGGGTTCTAGATTAGAAGTTTCCGTGACTGCAAGGATCCATACTCTTCGGCTGTAACTGCAGTCGTCGCTGCGTCGCTCTCTCTCTCTATCCCCCCCCCCGCGCTTCTCTCCCTCAACCTCTCGCTTCTAGCCCCGCCCACTCCCCCCCCCCCCCCCCCGCACAGTCTCACGTCCCAGTCCCTGACGTCCACACTTATATAAACTCCTTAGCTCCGGCATTTCTCCTACTTTAGTTAAACATTTCTAGCTGTGATTTTCACACCTGATGACGATTGCCTGTGTTGCAATCGAAACGGCGTGATTGAATGGGCATTTTTTTTTTATTGTTTTTATTTCATTTTTTACCTACGTGACTTTACCGAAAGAACCAGAGTTCAGATATCACTCGCCACGGATGTTAGCCATGGCTGTGGGAAGCGGACTGCACCACCGTTCCCCCCAATTGTTTAAGTATTTTGTCTTCGTAGTAAAAAAATAAGTTCCACGCTATATTTTTCCCACTCTCAAAAGGTAATAAAACCCCAATTAAAAGGCACTACAGACACTATTTATCATCACCAGGCTGCCTGTGAGGGCACACGTAAGGACTTGTATATCACTGGTAGAGTGAAACATTCATTACTGTGAATAGCAACATGGGAACACGTGTAAAAACACAATTCCATAAGAAATGCATTGTGGTCCTCTTGTCGTAGGTCACCGTCAAAATAAATTTGATGATTATCGAAAACAACGGGAGCACTTCTTCAGGAAACTAAGTGTTTTTTGTTGCATGTGCACGAGATGCGTGCGTTTTGGACAGCTTTCAGTGCGTCGCTTGACACTCACGGCTATACAGCCCGCACTATTTATATTCCGTTACGGTTGGGTTTATCTCGGCGTGAACAAGATGCGACTCCTCGTAGCCTCTTCCTAGGAACGAGGATCCGGGGCACGGATCACATGCACGAGTCGCGGTGGTTTACCGCCCGGCGCCTTACCCCCGATCTTGACCGTGTAGTCCTCGGCCACCATGCAGTTGCGAGCGGCGAGGTCGCGGTGCACGTATTTCTTGGCGTTTAGGTAGGCCATGCCATCGGCAATCTCTCCGGCCATCTGCACGATCTTCTCGAGCGTGGGTGGCGGCTTCCCCGGGTTGTTCTGCGGCACACACAGTCGGACGAAGCGCGCTCGCGATTGCCGCTCCGGCTGGCGCGCGTGCAAGCACAACCTCTCGCGCTTGCCTCCCAAAGGCGGCTTTGTCGCGAATCAGCAACGGAATAGCGCAGCTCGGCGGGGTTAACAACGCCAACCGTAGTGAACTCGCGATTATCTACGGTAATCAGTAGTGGAGTGGGGGAGTGGGGTGGTAGGAAGGATGGGCCAAAGAATTAGACCATAATATATTTCGGGTTTCATCATCATCAACATCATCACAATCCATGGGCAGATAGCCCCTAAGTGGCCACTGCACATTTCGTCATTTGTTTACAAAAGGGTTTTCGCGACATAAAGTGGGGGGCGAAATGTATAACACGTTGCCCGTTTGAGTCGATGACCCCCAAACAGCAAGGAGCAGCTAACGGTGAAACAGGCGTGCGTGTAAAGGCGGCGACTATTTTTTGTTCGCGTGCGATAATCCTCGAGTTCAGCGCAAATTTCTCCGGTGCTACGTACAGCGGCGTGACCCTGGGCCGACGCCTGGGTTGTCGAGAGCGCCGCTCCCGCGAGGAGCACCCCGCACGCCGGCCGTGCCAGGGCCTCCAGATTTTCACCGAATCCAAAGTTGCGGTCTTTGCAGGTTTAGGCCGCACGTTGAGCCTTTACCCATCGAACTTTAGGCGCTCGCAAAACGCAATCAACGCCGCGTGCAGTGCTGTGGCAAATGCGCTCAATATAAATAAATGCTCGACACGGGCGGCGGGTCATACGCGGAGATGCCGCCGCTCACTCACCTCGGCGTCGGGGCGAAGGGAGCGCAGGTAGCTCTTGAGGTCGCCGTGGGTCATGAGCTCCATAACCACCAGGGTCGGCTGCCCTTGCGACACCACCCCCAGCAGACGGACCTGCGGGCGGGGGACACGCGCGGCCACTCAGTTCCCCCCCGAAGGAGCCCCCGGCACGTGGAGCAAAACCTCGGTCACCGTGCCGAACGACACGCGGTACACGACCCGAAAACATGGCGGAGGGCGCGAGAAGTTGATTAGAGACGGCGTCGACAACAGCGGCAACGCCGTGGGCGCTGTGATGCGACAATAACGGATGGCGAGCACACCAACAATCATGTAGATATTACCTAATCACACGATACAATACTAACCAATGAGACTACTCTATCCATGGATCGCTTGCCAATGAACCGACGCAGTAATTAACCCTCGATGAATAGATACTGTAGAGACATGGCTGTCAGATCGACTATGAACAGAATCGATACAACAGACACCACGATTCAGGTTTCACGAGGACACGCCCACTTCTCTCCATACACGGACCGATCGCCGATATGGTCGGATGTCCGATTTGATTCCGTACCGATGCCGATAATTACACGACCGCGCCGGCGCGTGCCTCTTGGCCTCTGCGACGACGGTGCTTGCTCGCGTGCAGCGGCGGCGGGGAGGATGGTGGGGGAGGCAGGGGGCACACGTACCACGTGGTGGCAGCTGAAGGACTTCATGACGGAGGCCTCGTTGAGGAACTCGATACGCTCGCGCAGGCTCGCGCCCTCGTTCACCGTCTTGACGGCGACGCGCGTCTCCTGTCTCGTCCTTGATAACGCCGCGCGCCATGCCCTCGTAGACCATCCCGAACGAGCCCTGGCCCAGCTCGCGCAGCAGCAGGATCTTATCGCGCGCCACCTCCCACTCGTCGGGGATGTACACTGTGGGGTGGGGGGGTGGGGGGGGTGTGCACCTCTGTTTAACTGGACGTTATGGCTTGGTCGTATCCCTCCAGTATAAATAAAGATTCTGATTGATTTTGATAAACGGGCACGCGAAACGTCTCGCGACGCACTGTTGGGAATCGGGGCCACGATTTGATTTACTTGACAATAAATTTGGTTTAAAGTCTCCTGTTTACCTTCCGTTTTTGTTTGTTTCTCAATTGTATTCTGCCGGTAATTTATATACATGCAAATAATCGATCCGTACACACACACACACAATTTGGTGCATGTATCATCAAGTTGTGTACTTATGAATCGATGCACCGCTAACTATTATTTAACCATTACTTAATCCAGTTTCCATCGTGGTTTTACATTCTAGGTTTACAATTCTAGGTTTCAAATGCTTTAACCTGTCGTCATTTTTTTTTACATTTCAGTTCCGGCTCGGCACGATCCTCCCCACTGCTGGGGACAGAGACATCTCAGCCAAAGCGCTGGCGGTGGCGGCGGCCATCACTGGTCAGGACAGCGGCCTCTGGCCACCAGCGTCTGACGCTGTCGCCTCGACAGACCTGGTTTTCACCTGAGGACTGGCTGCTGTCGCCTCGACAGACCTGGTTTTCACCTGAGGACGGCTGCTGTCGCCTCGACAGATCTGGTTTTCACCTGAGGACGGCTGCAAGCGTTGTGGTTCGAAACGTCGTGAGAATTATTTTATTATGTTTTATTATTTTATTACTTCCCTTCTACGTGACTTTACCGAAAGAACCAAGAAGATGAATCCCTGCAGTCACGAAAGCTTTAAATCGAACTCCGTTTTTGTGTTTAATTGTCCCTTCCCCCACACCTCCGATCGGCACGGTTGGCTACGTACGGTGCAAAAGAAGTTCAACATGCACGCGCAACAACTCCACGCGGCAGCGTGGCGCCCCCGTCGACGGTGCCTCCCTACGCGTCTGCACGTCCCACCGCGGAATTCCTTGCTCCCCTATCTGGAGCCGCCCACGGAACGCGATCCTGCTGGACAGCGCGTGCCGCTACGTCGAACGAAAGGTATTTGTCCGTCATCTAAAACCATTTTTGTATCGACTGACACTGCGTTTCTGAAATTTGCGCATCTCATCCAAGTGAATAATTTTGAAACTCTAACTTGCATTTCACTCTGACGTGGACAGCGCTGATGAATATTAGCAGCGTACTTCCCGTCAAGTCGGACTCATATGTATGCATGCACATAAGGCCTCTATTACTTGACATCTGTGAAAAAGAGCTCCATAGCGCATCTCTCCACGTGTGTGTGCGTCGTGTGACGCATGCTCGTCAATTCTTTTTCCGGCGGTGTCTCGTTTTCATTCCCGACGTTTCTCCCAATTCTTTCATTTCATGCGTTGCGTGGTCTGAATTTTACGGATTGTCCTTTGAGATGCCGAATAAATGTCGAACCTTTAACTTAACGTATATAAAACATGACTGCGGAGGTGGAAAAATGGCACGGAGAGGGCACGGGAGGTAAAAAAATACAGGAGGGCATCCGTGGGCATTTGGCGTTGGGCTTGTCGTCCGCGGAATATCTGTACCAGGCTCCTGTTTAATAAATAAATAAAACAATACCGGGGGGCGTTGGTGTAACGTTGGCACTAGGGTCATAGGTCAACAAATAAGCAGGCAGAGACGAAAAGGGTGCAATGGCGTGAAGAGACGGAGATAGGACATGCTGACAGCTTCTGTGAAGGGCTGACGGGCCTGCAGGCACGGATATCACGGCCGCGGAATGCCACAACTAAAGGTCGACTATTCCAGTGCTTCCCAACTCCAGTCCTCGAGACCCTCGCACCGCGGTCTATTGGCCTTTTCGTGATTACCAAAGCCTTTTATGTTCGTACGCAAATGAAGCCACCGCCATACTGCACGCGGCTGATGGTTGGCAGTGGTGGCGGACGGGTGTCAAGGGGAGACTGTGTGGCGTTTATAAACTATATCATGAGAAGCAAAGTATCGTTAATGGGTTGTTTTTGCCCACCAGGCCTCGCCAGGCCTCGCCAGGCCCTACCACAGTTAGATGCACCGTGAGGACTGGAGTTGAGAAACGTCTGGGGGAGGAGGGGGGGTGGGAACGGGGTGGGGGGGTCAAAGTGCTTCACGATGCACCCTCACGCAGCCTACATCGGACTGGCCCCCGGTATAAACCTTGGCTCTTTCGGTCGCAAGTTTTGCGGACCGTGGAAAAAATACCCAATTATAATTGTCTATCGGTCCAATGCCCCTCGCCATCACAAATTGCTTACCAGTGTCTATTAAAGTGAGTGAGTAAAATGCAGGCCGTTCGATATGGCACGAGATGTTAACGTTTTATGTTTTAAATGTTGCACCGACCTTCGTTGGTGCTGATGTACTCGGGGTTCACAGACGCGTACAAAATCCCGTTGGGCAGACGAGCCTCATTCCTGCACCAGGGGAATAAAAAACGAGGCGACAATCAACCCAGCGTTTCATTCAGACAGCCGAAGTCTCCCTAGACATTTTTTGGAAAATTCATTTTGTCATCTGTCTTTTCAACCACGCAACGGTCATGGGAGTGCCAACGAAGCCTCCTTGGCTGTCAAAACTCTCTTCACGTTTGCCTTGTCCATCACAGTATTTGTCCGGTGTTGTACCGGCTCATCCCTCAGCCCACGTGAACACACATTGTCACGTCACTTATCTTTGGTCATCCTTTCCTTCTATATCGCTCTACCATCCCCTGCAAGATGATGTTAGGGGGGTTATCTCCGTTATCATGCTACGTCTTCATATCACCCATTGCAGTTCACTTTTATTCTTTGCTGTTGCCAGAAGTGATTTGTGTTCTCCCATCTTTTTCACGCAAAATTTTATAAAATTTCCCATTTCAAATGCACACACACGGACACACGCGCGCACACACGGACGCACACACAAACGGACGCAACGCACACACGGACGCACCGTTTCTTGACAAAGAAGAACAGCAGGCCAGCGCCGATGGCCACTAATACGAGCAGTAGGGAGACCACGATGACCACCACGGGGATCACCTGGCTGGGCTGGGCCACGGCTGCACGCACGCACAGAAGTGGGGGGAGGGGGACGGTGAGTCAGTGTGCACGACGCTCGCTCTCGCCCATGTTTTTGGCCAACGTGCCAGCCAATTCCCTGCAGCCGAGGGTGAACCTTTTGCCATTGCTGCGTTGAGTATTCACACTGCGGAGCGAGGATCGAGGCCGGACGTCTGGTTTTACCGGACCGAGACCCGGCCGTGGTTGGGCCAGCAGTGCAGCTGCGGGCTCGCTTGCGCTGAGGGAATGAGGGATGAGCGTTGGCGGCGACGCTTACGGGGCGTGGGCACGACGAAGCTGATGGGCTCGCTCCAGGACCCGTTCCCGGCGAGCGAGGTGGCGCGCACGCGTGCCGTCAAGTTGCCGGGCAGCAGGCCGTGGATCTTCCTGCCGTGGCCCTCTTTGCGGTAGGCGGTGAGCGACACGCACTCCAGCCGCTCCACCTGCTGCTGCCGCGACACGATACGTGAGAGCGCAATCGGGCCGTTCGCCCACCTGCACAGCGCCGCTCACCCGCACTCGCACCGCTCGCACCCGCGGCTACACCGTTCACTCATTGTGTGTACAAGGGCAATGCTGTGCGTACGTGTGTAACGCCGTGGGTACGTGTGTAACGCCGTGCGTGCATGAGCAATGGAACAACAAAGAGTGAACCAGGAGCAACAGCATCTGCTCATATAATCTGCACTTTCCTCTTCTGCCTATAGCTGTCTGCTGCCTATGAGGTGTCTAGCAAATGTTTATACTGGTAGGAACCTCCTGGTTACACCAGCCCACAGGGGATTATTGTGTCCGTCCGTCCGTCCGTCGTGCAGGGAGGGGCTGGGTGGGGAGGGAGGGGCTAGGTGGGGAGGGGAGGGTGGGGCTGGGTGGGGAGGGTGGGGCTGGGTGGGGAGGGGCTGGTCACCCCGTGGTGCCCTTATAAAACTCAACGTTTAACCTACTCACGCCGGCTTGTGCCCGCCCTCACAGTCGGGCATATTTGCGGAATACACCACGCCGCCGTTGACCCTGGCCATTGACCGAGCAACCCAACGTTACTACCAGCTCCCTCCGCAGGAATGTGTTGCAATTATTTATTTGTAAACACACGAGAGAGTTCAATATTATTTCCTGCTAAAATGTGCACTGAGGTAATGGTGCTCAGCTCCTGTTCACAGCCCTGAGCCAGCGGTGGAAATTTCTCATTCCTATGTCAGGGGCGAGTCTCCCCATAGGACAACCAGCACTGACTTCCCAACAAAGTTGTACCTCACTTTAACAACCCCAGCGGGATGATGGGATGAGTCAACCCAAAATCAGGATTTGAATTCACAACCTTCGGACTGCGAGCAAGAGGCTCTGCTGCCGAGCCAGCTGGCCGCATTATAGAGATGCGTGTGTGGGTGTGTGTGTATATGTGTAGCGGTGTCAAGATCGGCCTCAGTGGAGAAGGCTCGTGAAGGACGCTACTGGGCAGTTTTTAAGCAGTTGCCTTCCAACAACAACGGAGGGCGGAGGAGCGATGCTCACAACAACGAGCGGAGCGCCGGGTGGTTAAAGCACAACAAAAGTTGGCACAGTAGGGGGCACAGGTGTTGCATCAGCCAGTCATCTCAGTCATCTCAGTCAGTTGACCTGTGGCACCTGGGTCTGCCCCGTGACCTCCTGCCAGCGGGCGCTCGACACTTCACGTGGCCTCAAGGTGCACATGGCCTGGCACAAGCGTCGTGGTGACGTCACCGCCACTTAGTGGCGAATGGCGGTTGTTGTTGTTATATGTGTATCTGTATGCAAGATGCGGCTGCACTTAAGTAGTGCGTGAATATAATTTGCAATATTTGCATTATCATGAATAATTATCAATCAACAGGCAAGCGAAGCGAGTTCAGAATCTGGCAAAGGGAACGAAATGCCGTCGCCCGCTTTCAGCGGCTGCGGTGACGGCGGTGAGCAGGGAGGGTGGGGTCGCGGGGTCATGGGGTCATGGGGCCACGGGGTCATGGGGTCGCGGGGCAGCCTGACCTGCTCTCGCCAGACGGTGATCTCGTAGAGGATGATGAACCCGTTGGGATTGGTGGGCTCGGGCCACGACAGGAATACAATGTTGCCGTTGAGCAGCTTGGCCGCCATGGAGCCCGGGATATCATCGGCGTGGGCTGAGGGGCAGGTGCACACAAAGATAAAGATCGCTACCCCCCCCCCCCGCGTAGCCTTCACAGACTATTGTGGCAAGTGCTTACGAAGGACGGCAAGGTGCTCGAGGGGGTGGTGTGGTCGACATCACTTTTGCGTACATGTTGTCAAGAATTGGTTTGCGTGACCTATGCAGGCACCGGAGGAAGCTACATTTTTGGCCCCGAATCATCATTACTAAGCCGATAGTCTTCACCAGACCGGATGAATGCCTCATAAAGAGCGTAAATAATGGGGTAACGCTCCCCCGCGTCACATGATGAATGGTGCTTGACAGCAAATGACCGGGTGACTATCTGACGATTAAATTTAAGGGCTCATAATACTCTTTGCTGGGAGGGGTGGTGGGAGGGGTGTGGTGCCTCACGCTCTGGCATGGTCCTGGCGAAGACGTAGTTCTGCATGCTGCAGCCGAGGTCGGCGGCGGCGTGGTTGCACGCTTGGATGTCGATGCGGTACACCGTGAAGTGGCGCAGGCCTTCGATCACCGCAAACTCGCGCTGCCGCACGACCTTGTCCATCGTGGGGAAGTTGTCACGGGGGGCCGCGGTGGTGCGCGCCCCTCCGCCGCCGCCGCCAGCGGGGCCGTCCGTCGTCCGGCCGAAGAAGGGCAGATCGTCGCCACCTCTGCCGCCGTTGAGCATCACCACGCTGGCGTTGTTGAACGGGGAGGTGGGGGCGGCCGGAGCCTCGCGCCGGCGTCTTGACGGCCTGCGCGTGGTCATGGGCGGGGGGGGGGGGGGGGGGCGAGACACGCTCGGATGGGAACACGTGACAAAGCGGGCACGGACCCCCGAGGCCGAAGGCAAATCATCTGCGCCATCCGCTAAACCTACGGCGGATACGCCTCGAACACAGCCCAGGCTAAAGCTGGGCTCGTGGAGAAGGAGGCAGCAGAAGAGGAGGCCTCAAATGGCGACTTCTCTCATAAAATGATGAGCTATTGCTAACCGCTCCGATGAATAAACGTTGTAAGCGTGTGACGATGTCTGGACATATCAGTGCATGGACTAAAATCGATTCTGATGTGTTATAAGTGTTTGGTTTGCATAAATCCTGCAGCCACGAGAGGCACTATATGTACCAGAATGGCAAAACAAACTCTGTCCTCGAGTGGAATTGGCAACAACTGTGACGATTCCTCAACTCACGATAGGGCGATTGGGAGATGCCTCGTACGCACGCAAGCCTGGCCGCTGTTTCACGTGTTGGGTGAATCAATGGGACACCTACGTCCGCGTCGACTAACGCAGGAACGACGACTGTGGCGGATTTGTGAAGCTATAAATACCCTGGTCAAACCCAGGTTCCTTTGGGCACAGACATTCAAAATACACTTCCCCTGTGTCCAACCCTAACAACTCACCTCCACCACCTTCCCCCCACCCCCAGTGTTAGCAATCACACTCAGCTCGTTGTTGTTATCGTACGATTGATGTTGGTTCAGCATGCACATAGAATTCGGTGTCTGTGTGCGAACGTAAGCTGACGCAGCTTTGCAGCGGAACGCCATGAGATAATTTGCGACGTAACTTTTAAATAGAATCTGTTCGCACGGGCGCGAGTGTGTCGGGGTCTCTCCACGGAAACTACGTAAAATGATTTGTTGGTTAACGCTGCATTAACGCGTGTTTTTTTAAATCAAGGCTCGCGCTTGTGGCAGGCATGGGAAGGCAATTGCGTGAGCATCGAGGCCCATTGGTGACGCATCGCCCCGGCAAAAAACCCTCAGCGGAGCCGATTTACAGGACCGGCTGAGTCACCGAAAGGGACACGCGGCGGTGACGCACGGCGGTGACGCACGGCGGCCATTACACCCCCAGCACAGGAGGAGTCGCGAAAATAAAAGTACCGATCGCTCGGACTGCACACACGCGCGCAACAACCCACCTACAAATATACACCCACCAATACCTACAAATATCCACCCACCAATACCTACAAATATACACCCACCAATACCTACAAATATCCACCCACCTATACCCACCACCTATACCCACCACCACACCAACCCACCCAACGCGGTTCACCTAACGAGACGTCCTCTCTCGGCGTTTGGAGGGATGGGAGTCTTAAATGGCGAGCTGCGTACGGCGCCGTAAAGAGGCGGGGTGCCGCGTCACACGGCGTCGCCTCATTACCAAGCGGGAAACGCTTCCAGTGACGCGACTCCAAATTAGGAGGAGCGATCTTGACGGTTTTTCCCCGATGCTTTAAACTCAAGATAAATGCGTTTCGCCATCGGCCACCGTGGGTTCAGCCCGTCCGTCCAGACGTGCATTACAACCTCACGCCGTCAAGACGCACGGCGCCACAACCCTCTCGTGCACCGTGTCCACTTTGGCGGAACCCTTACGGTCTTTACCACGGCTATTCAAATCGTACTAAACGTATTCGACACATTGGAGGTTGTTCATCCGGGTTCGTAGTGCGGCGCGCTAACCATTGCGCCGCCGCTCCATTCAATGCAAGTTGCTACGCCGCGAGCTTAACGATGAGAATTCTCGGGTGAACCGATTCGTCACTCCCCACGTGCTAGCAAACGCGGTTTGATGCTGGGAATCAAACATGCCGCTTTTAATCAGGAAACGGAGGAGCGGTCTGGTTTTGGGGAATGAAAAACACACACACGCGCATACGTGGCGTCCGCGCGAAGCCACGTGAAACCAGATTTCATCCAAGGTAATTAATATCTCTCCACCGTCCGCAGCAATAACAACATCATGTGCCTCTGTCACAACAACATCACGCCGTACTTAAGTACCCTGGCGTGCGGAGCCGACGGTTTTCCCCGTGGTAATTCCGGACAAAGACGACGGCTAAAAATAGCGACGGTCAAGTGACCTTTGAAGCGTACACCGCGCGCTGCCGCTGCCGCCGCCGCCGCTGCCGCTGCCTCAAGCACGGCCGGCCGATGGGGAAAAAGGTCGTGTCAATTTGTGGCGTTCGGAAAACAGTTTTCTGAGGACGAAAATAACACCACAGTTAAACGCTGTCTCGCGCGGTAAACCTGCCGCGAACGCTGGACGGCGATTTCGATGCGTGTGGAAACAACGTCCCCTCGTGCTATTATTCCGTAAAAACAAAACTGACGGAGGGCTTCTGCTGAGCAGCATTTTTTTTTTCACAAAGGAAGGTGAGTAACCACACGTTGAAGCTTATAAATCATCGGAGTGTTATAGCGCCGTATGTCGGCAACAGATCACGGTAGCCTGGATTGTGGATTAGAAGCCGAATCAACGGTCTGCCTGAGGAACCAACGCTCTCTGGGGGTGTCGCTCAGACGATTTAATTAAGTAACTGTCAATTGTCCCCGAGCCAGAAGTGCAGTGGCCATCCCTGCGCTTTACAACGGGCCCAGCGGCAAGGAATAAGGGGCATGAAGTTGAACACCACGAGATCTCGGGCGGAGAAACCCCGGTGCTTCATTGGCCGCGTAAAGTGTTCACCGGGCCTGCTGTGGGAGGACTGAGCCGGCTAACCATGTACGCGGCCACCGGCAGTCGTGGTGAACATGACTGCGTCGAGCTCGGATCAATCGGTAAACGCGTGGCTCCTCTAAGAAGCCAGGCGATCCCCGAGCACGGTGACGGGGCGGCGGCTCGGGAGAGGCGGCTCGCGCACTTGTCCCTCGGAAGGCCTCGAGAACATCCGCGTACGTTGCTCGTGCGCCGTTTACGACGAAATCGCAGAGCCGCGGTTTTGTTCACGCCACGCCCCCGCAAGGAGCGGTCGAATAGACGGGGAGGAGGCGGCACGCTGTCTTGCGTAACCAAAGGAGCAACTCCACCGCTGACAATTATTCATTTATTTATCTATTGCAATACGAATTCGGCCAGGTGCGTGGTTCCTCTGACAGACGAATAGCAGCGAAAATCACATCTCCGTTTTGATTGAGCCTCTGTAGCGATGTCACCTTACCTACTGTCGCCAATCTCCCCAGACTTACTGCCCGGCGGTCTGAAAACGCAAGACATGCAAACTTTGTCCTCGTCCTAGTCCCACGTGAATATCTCAGCACATGGCACTCCACCCACTCGCACCGCCGCACTTCTCCCCCCACTCGTTGTCGCAGGTGACGGTCGTGTGACTTCACAGCGCCACTTCAACTAGGTCATTTTTTCTCCTGCCAGCATGATACGCACGGCCAGTTGAGGCATGCCCAAAAGTCAATATTGCCAAAATGAACAAAGAAAGGCTTTTATTTTAAACGTTTAAAAGATTAAATTCCATCCCCTGCTGCAATAATTTGCACGATGCAGGTAACATTATTATTTTAGTAATAATGACCCAGGAACACCACGCTGAGTCTCAAGGCTCTTTTTCAGGAAGGTCCTGCCAAGTTTTCGCAGTCGGGGGTCAATGTTACTGCTGCATGTCATCCCAATTGAGTAATTTGCAGGAAATGTTTCAGCATTGGGATGTTAGACCAACACCAGTTACAATGTTTTTTTTTTGTATGGGATGAAATCGGAGAACCCTGAGGAAACCCGTGCAGACCAAGGGAAGAGAACGAACATACAAACCACACTCAAGAAGGCGCCCGAGTCGGGAATCAAACCGAGGCGCTTCTTACTGTAAGGCACAAGTGTTAACACCTTGTCTGTCCTCATTCACAGATCAATCCTCCCAAACCTTAAAGATTATCGCCCCCCCCCCCTCAGTGATTGGTTTTGGGACCGTTTCAATAATCAGACAAAACCAGCTATCAAGTGATTATTTTCTCCTGGAGGTTGTAGTCACACAACCCCTCGTTTAAAACTGGAAGGTTTACAAAATCATCGCCGGCGTAACCAAAGACGCCACATCTTCCCGCCGGCGCTCAGCTAACGAACCTCAAAGTGCCGGGGGCCTACGGGACAGGCGCCATCGTCGGCCGCGAGCTTCAGGCCGAAGCCGAGCCAGCGTCGCCTGCTCGGGGGTCGCGACCTCTCCATCGCTCCTACATAACGAGGCCGACCCCCCTAACCAAACCGCCGTTACGTTGCCGCTGCTGCCGCCGCGCACCTGGGTATGAAGATGGTGTTGTGCAAGAAGTTCTCAAAGGCCTTTTGGAAAGCTGCCTGCTCCTTCTCCTTCTCGATCTCGCTCTCCGGCTTGGGGCAGGCGCAGCAGGTAGTGGAGTGGCCGTCGCCGGTCGTTGAGTTGCCCTTGCCGGGGACGTCGTCGGAGTCCACCGTGCCGGGCGAGTGGTCCGGCGACGGGACTTTGCCTAGCGGTGCACCGGGGTACAGAACAGGCGGCAAAATGAGTATAACGCGTTAGATCCACCGCTACACGTCAAGTCTTTTAGTGAGCACCTTTAAACTAAACTAAGATTTTTTTCTATTTTAGCAGGTAAGGTCCTCTGAGCTATTTAGCTTTTTTTCAGAAGCGACTTGGCCACAAATGATAGCCCAGTGAAAGTGGCTTATCATGTGGAAATTTATCGCCGCCAAATACTCGAAACACATGTTTCTAAAATGTGGAGGAAAATTCACGCGGCCACGGAGAGAACATGCAAACTCAAAATATACAGCAGGCGTCAAGGTCGGGATGGAACCCACGACCTACTGCATACCAGGTGAGGTAGTTAACATCTCGTCAGCACGACGTCCGAAAGATGGACACTTATGAAGGTTGAGACAACGCACGAGAGAGCAGCCAGCAACATGCCCGGCTGTCTGTCTCCTAACTGTCTTGGGCCACTCGGTACTGTACCACTCGGTCTCACTGTAACGGAGTACACGGCGTCACTGTGCGAGCTGGGAATAACTCAGTCCAACTACTGGAGTACTCAGTTTTGAGTGCTGGAGTACTCCCGACGATGCAGCGCGACCCGGGCGACTCCACACACACAAGCTCCAAATTTAAGATCCACACACACCTGTCTGGCAGTAGTTGCGTTCGAAGAGTTCGCTGTTCTCAGGCTGGCGCTGCCAGAAGAGGCGGTAGTAAGAGAGGTTCCCGTTGAGGTTCATGGGCGGATTCCACTTGACCTTGATCGTCGTGTTGGACGCGAAAACGGAGACCATGTCGCGTGGGATGGACGGCACTGAGAAAGCAACGCAGGATCAAAACAACAGAATTACACGGCAGCACAACTGGTAACGATTCTCGTGCTCACAGCAATGACATGAACACGCCACAGTCTGCTTCCCCCGGACTGTTAAAGGTCACGTGATGTTAACAGAAAGAGAGCAGGCCGAATGTGCGGGCATCATTGTAAAAAAATCGTAAAAAATTACACCGCAAACGACTGAAGTGTGAAACTACTGCAGACTACTACACTGGCCTGTGAAACACACGGCACGTGCTTCGACCGCCTTGCGCTATAATAATCATCTGGGTTTCCTCGAGGTTGAGTGTGATGATCGTACATGGAGAGCGATCGTGCTCAGAGTTTGTGGAATGGCAACATCTTGGGAAATACTCCATGCTCCCCCTTATAAGGTATCCTGGACCCTCATTAAAGGTGCAGTCGATGGAACGCTGGGAGTCGGCTCAAATAGTACTTTGTGTTTCTGGTGTTGAGTGTAAACCCCATCCCTGCTGTATGCGTCAGCAAAGACATCAACAATGGCCTAAATATAATACAAGTGGCGTGGATTCCAAATGCACTGATTTGATGCGTAACACCCAGAATTCCGACTGCAGTGTACAGCCCGCCGGTCCCCTGCCACGCCTTGAACGTTACACGCAAGCACATCAAGTGGACAAATGTTCCTCGAAAAGTCAAGACTTTTGGGGCAAGAGATGTTCGTGTGCATTTATGAATGCTGGCACGGAACATGAGGGAGGAGGTGGGTGGCCAGCACCATGCTCGACTGCCTTTGCCTCCCCAGTGGCGATGTTTACACACCGCACCAGGTACTTGTTTGCGTCGACCTAGGTCAGGGGTCGGCGACCTGTGGCTCCGGAGCCGCATGCGGCTCTTTAAGGACTGCTTCGTCACGGTATTTATTACGCGCATTGCGGCCCTTGAAATATTCAGTTTTATTCACAGAATTCGAAAAAAATGCCTCTGCTTGTTATTTTGGTCGCCGACCCCTGACTCAGGGGGAGGCTCAGGACCGGTTTGTCACTGGCGTTGGTGGTCAACGGGAATCAAACTCGGGAAGCCGGGTTCTTAGTACAGCGCGCCAACTGCTACATTCCTGCTCCCCGCACATGCGCACGCGCGCGCGCGGCTCAGCACATCTCACCGCTGGCATTGGTGCGCACGTAGATGATGTTGCTCTTGGCGCCGTGGTTTCGGCCCTCGTTGGAAGTGGTGAGCATGTAGGCCTTGACGAAGATGGCGTACTGCGTCCAGGGCTTGAGCCCCGCGAGCATCGCGCGCGGCTGGCTCTGCTGAGCCGTCTGGTTCGTCCCCTTGTTGGAGGGCAGAGAAGGCGGCTCGTGGTCCTGGAACATCCAGCTGTTGGAGCCGCACGCGTCCTGCCCCTCGTACTCCGTCACGTTCTGGTATATCCTGCGTGGTGTGCACCCCGAGGAGGAGAAGGGCAGCCGATGAGGGGGGAGGGGGGGCAACGGTTAAGGCAGTGGCCCGGCCAAGGACCGGTTTGGATATCGCTCGTCCCCGTGGCCAGGAATCGAATGCAGGTCGCCAGATTCCATTACACAACGCTAATATTGGCGGTGAGATATATCTAAACTGGTCCTGGGCACCTCCTGCACCAACCCGCACTGACCAGCATGGTAAAGTATGATCAAACAACGCAGTATGGAAAGGCCTTCAAACAGCAGTGGATGGAGAAGGGCTGTTAATCTATATACATTTTCTTGGTTAGATACGGGCTTGGAACATGGCTGTGGTGGAGCACTCTTTGTGTTGCACTGCAGCAGCGGTTAAACGTGGGCATGGCCGCCCAGCCGACGTCGCCCCGGGCGAGCCCCATCGACGTTCACGCCGAGGGCATGGCCGCCCCGCCCAACGAACGACCGCACATTGTCTCCCGATCGCCAGAGCTCGGCCGCGCACAACGGAATTGGCGCTTTCTGTAGCCGCAAATTCTGCGGCTCGTGCACAAGGCGCGAGGCCGGCGCCGACGGTCAACAAAGCCGGGGCCACTCTTCGCCGAAGGCAGACGGCGCTCGTCTGTCTTCAGCGAAGCAAAAGGGCGGTTTCAGTTGAAGATCTTTGAGTCTCGAGTCTGCGGCGGCGTTGTGACGCGACTTGAATGTGGGCGGCAGTGGGGTGCATAAGCCACGAATGAGAAGCTTGCTGGAAATTGAGTTAAAGTTTGTTATTTTTGTTAATGAAGGACGTATAAAATAGATGTTAAGTCACATGACCTGACACCAATGAGCGAGGCAGAGGTCACAGGACCCACAATTCGACATAGGTGGCTGCGCAGCATGCCCAAGTGCCTGTGCTCTTGCCACTGCAAGAAAGCAACCATCCTGCGCCTGGCCGAGTCGTAACGGTGCATTTGGGAATTTCGGACGGAATTCCAAGAGCAGGAATTCAAGACTAAAACTGTCATCGCGAGGCACTAAATGTCAACTCCTCCACGAGGTTCTCAGGATGTCTGGTATGCAGGCACGACACCGGGCACACCTCCCCCTCACCCACTCCCCCCACCGCCGCCACCCTCCCCAACACGTCATGCAACGACAAAAGGTTCCCACGATTCCACAGGAGCTCGAGTCACGATGCGGAATTCCTCCTGCGCCGGAAGCCTCAGGGGTCACGTTGGCTCAGCGACTTCCGGTCCAACTACGGCGACGGTGGTGGCTAACGCCAACGGATACGGAGGCACCGGTGCGGAGACCTTCGCGCCGCTGGCCGAGCGGCACCGACCGCCGTGTGAGCACGAGGAGAGGGCAACTCACGTCTCCTTGTAGTAGATGACGAATCCCAGGAGGTCCCGGTAATCCGGGGGCCGGTAGTTTGTCCACGTGGCTATGATCATGGTCTGGCTCGTCTTGAGGGTCGTCAGTTCCAGCAGAGTGCTCTCGCCTGAGACGCGGCGGCGGCGGTGGCGGCAGCGGTGCACGGCAAGCGCAGGGGGGTGGTAGCGGGGTTGGCGAGAGAAGGGAAACGTTTACTCGCGGAATGAGGAGCTCCCAACAGGAAGCATCGTTATCCTTCGACATTTCCTTGGTATCGTGAACAACAACAAAAATAAGTTGGCAAGGCAGCCCACTGATAAATGTGCAAAACACACCATCTTGCATTTAAAAAAGAAATCCACGTTTGGTGCGCAAGCCGATCACCGTGATGCTGTACGTACAATATTCGTACCAGTATTCAGCTTCACGTCAATGTTTTAACAATACCCCCGAGTATTGGCGTTGGCGAGTTGTGCGGTGAGTTGCGTAGGAATTGGTTGAGAAGATTTCTTAGTGTTCCTTAATTCATGTAAAACAGCCTTCCTACCCGTGCCTCACACAACCAGGGCGAAGTTGCGTTTATAACTTTTTAAATTATTTGAATTATCTCATGCCATGGAAGGGCTTTGATACCCTCGGCTCGTGTGTGGACAGGAACTCTGACATAGGCCAACAGGGTTTGCCACCTCTGAGGTACAACAAAAATCGTGGCATATCATGGGAAGAAGAATACCTCACAATACAGGAAGCAGGAAAATTACGTTGAAGTGCATCGTCTCGAGTGTTGTATTGTTACGCAAGTGACAATAACCGGAACTCGTAATGCCCTGCGAAGACTCACGGATTTTTCCAGGTTAGCTGCCTCAATAAGAGGATCATCCTGAGAAAACCAGGACAGGTGGCAACCCTACAGGCAAGTTAGGGTCCTTGTCTCTACACCTTGGTCTGAGGGTTGCCATGAAACCTGCGCCTCCCCCGAGGGAAGGGAGGGGGGGGAGCCGCAGTCCAGTACTCAAGGTTAAATTATTCAATAATGGATGACTTTCCGTGTGCCCAGCACAGGAAAGAGTTTAACTAGTGTCTAATCGCAGCGTATCGGTGATCAATGTACGAAGAACGGCATTCTGGTTCCCGTAAAAACAATGCGGTTGCAAGACGGCAAAATGGCAGGGTGGGTGGCACATTTGCCGCTTTGGTTCGAGCGTAGCGGCTTCCCCTCGTTAACGCTGCAGATGCGTTTACCAACAATGCGTGCAACCTGCTTCACAGTGCATGTCACAAGGTCCTGTGGCAAGAGGAGTCAAGGTGTGCCGTGCGTCACGGTCGCAAATTTAAACGCAACTTAATTTGGTAAAACCACGTCGCCAAGTCGCCCCCCCCCGTTTACTGGCAGGGTGCATTCGCCTGCGACACCGTCACACCTTTGTGATAGCTACATTAATGGCACGAATAACTAAATGTGCTAATCGAGTGAGGGCAGTGGGGGGTGGCTTGCGTACAGGAAGCCTGGTTTCCGTTGGTCTTTCCCGACATTTCGCTCTCGTCCTGACGGCCCCAGGTTCCCGTCTTGTTCGCCATCTGGTGGATCTCGGCGGGGCAAAGCTTGGGGTTGGAGTGAAAGAACATCTTGCCCCTCTCGATGGTCAGGCTGTGACGGTCCCAGTCCCAGAGCTGCTGGAGGTTTTGGTTGTCCAGGACGTAGAACGAGTAGTTTCTGTTTGCGGGAGAGAAAATGTCAAGACCAAAGAAACGCCGACGGGAAAACACCTCCACACCCACCGCTGCCGTTCACGCTGGCACGACAACGGAACGTTCCGCTTCAGACAATGGCTGGGAGTGCAGAGCCGGGCGGCACGCGGACGCGCCTCACCCCGTCTCGAGCGTCTCGCCCTTGATGAGGCGCAGGTTGCGGAAGAAGGAGAGCGAGATGAGCGCGTACGAGTGCTTGATCTTCACGTAGGCCGTCACCTCCTCGATGCGTCCCAGGTTCGCCTCCAGCTCGGCCGCGATGTTGTCTGCAGGAGAGACGGACGGAGGGGGGCAGACGAGGGGAGGGTGAGGCGGACGGACGGGGGAAAACGGATCGGGATGCGGAAGTTGGCAAGAGAGGAAGGAATTTTTGGCTGGCCATCGAACAAATACGGGCCACCGCATCGCGCGGCGCTTTCAGATGCGCTTCTGCGGCCGTCTGGAACGCTCTTCCTTCCGATAGTAGGAAGCCACTGGAGCTATGCACTTTTAAATCATCTAGATTGAAAACTCATTTCTTTAAAACTGCCTTTTGTGTTTAGCTTGTTGTCCCTCCCCCGCATGTCCGATTATCACGGTTGACTATGTATGGTACGAAAAACGTTTCGCATACATACATAATACATACATACAAACATACATTCATACATACATAATACATACATACAAACATACATACATACAAACATACATACAAGGCATGAACGTTTAAGAGAAGACCAGGGACAGAAAGACAGAGCCACCAATGGGAGGCAGGGAACCCAGGAAATGTCTTAATGCTTGTAAACATTTTCAGCGCTTTGAGGCCTTGTGCGAATTGCACTACAGAAAAGCGAGTTTATTTTTATAATCATCATTCACGATTTAAAGCCGTGGATATAATCAGCGAACTTGAGCAATGCATGCAAGTTATATTCTAACCATCGGACGTGCCAAACGATGAATATGGATCGTGTGTTGGTCGTTATTAATACACTGTGCAGACGGATCAAGTCAAATATTTAATTCCAGTGAGAAAATGGACTTCAACCAAACCACGACTTTGGCAGGATTCTGCTGTTTCTGCTGCGGGGTTCTGGTAAAATCCCCATTTGGAATTCAAGCCCTGGGCAATCGATTTTACACTGAAACCCAATCTTGACACCCAATTGTCTATCCACGGAAGGGACTGTCGCATGACATGCGGCGATGCGGATATGTTACCCGACTGCATTTGAATGTAAGTTGAACTTAGTATAGTAACGTAGCCAACCCTGCTAATTGGAAGTGCGGGGGAAGGACAACAAACTAAACGCAAAAAGCATTTCAAAAGAACTGAGTTTTCAATCTGAAATCGTAAAATGTGCAAAAAAATTACACTCGAGTAGTCAGACTATTTAATGAGGGTTCTTCAATTGGGATGTTTGGCCAATGCGTACGAATAATGTCTAGTATATAGGAGGAAGCTAGAGTAGCCAGAGAAAATCCCAGGATGAAGAGAACACTCAACTTGGTCCACACAGATGGGATCTGTGCTACCATGTCCTGGCCACCTCATAGCCCAGGGGGATTGCGGAGTCTCACAAATCTGCGTGACCCACCAACCCTTACCTCCAAAGCGCTGGACCGCAGGCAGCGGGCCACAAGATACAAAGGCCTATTGCTTAACCGGGAAAATAAAAACAGTACGGTAACAATGCCCCTTTGATGGCAGACTAAACCCATTTTCATGCCGGCGCTGTGTGTACCTGGTAGCACGTAGGGACGATTGCCACTGTGGGTCCCCCCTAGGGTAGACCGGCGGAGCTCAACAGAGCGGTCAAGATGCGATGTGACGCAGGGCGCTTTGAGATGCCGAGGCATTTAAGCGAGCGCCACTACACATGCAAATCCTTATCCTTCGTCGTTAAGATAAATGCGTTCTACAAACACGGCGGAGCGCTCTGTGAGCCTCCACCCGCTCAGCGAGCGCCGCGTCACCGCTGCGATGGACACTGTGATACGCACTGCCTCCTCGGATGTTGATGTCCAGGCTGCCATTGATGACGGTGCAGCCGTTGAGGTCTTGGGCGGCCGTTACGGAGTCGATGATCTTCTTGTTTACGTGGCACACCTTGGGGCAAAGCCCATCGCACTTTTTGCAGGTCATGCTATGGGGAAGAAGGACAGATGGGATATGCGGAGGGAGGGAGGGAGATTTGAGGTCATTTTGTGAGACTTCACTTGAACAGGAATTCAGTTCAATGACACGCAACAGAGTTATTATACCCAGTAACAATTGGTCAACGATGTTAATTTCATGAGGCTTTAATGAGTCAAAATTGCTCACTCATTAGTTTGTTGTCCTTCCCCTCGCACCTCCGATTAGCACAGTTGGCTAGGTACAGTGCGAAAGAAGTTCAACGTACACACGTACAAAGATGAGTCCAGCGGGGTAGGCGACACGGACGGCCGTAAAGCCTGACGGGTGTGTGTGTGTCTCCTTTACGAGACCGCGGAAAGTGGATCAGCGAAATATTGGATGTCATGCATTCAGCGTTGCGCAGCGCTGTGTCTTAGCAGCATGGCGAGTGACGACGTGAAACTAAACTCCAGTGTCATCATCATCACCACCGTCATCATCGTGATCGTAAATTGTCGCTCGCTAAACCTGACACTGTCACTCAGGTTCTCAACGCACGCTCAGACCGCAATCGAAATCTCCAGTGTTAAAAAATTGCTGATTTGGTGGTGAAAATTCCACACTGCATCCCACCGGTGGCGGCTGAAATAATAAAAATTGTAATGGCTCGTTAAAAGCTTGGACACCAAATGTCAGGTGGTGGAGGATCTTAACGGCACAAAATGTCATATTGCGTTGCCTAACCCCAGACGTCTGTTATGACTCTTGGGGCAGGTCCTGTTAGCGAGCAACCAGTAAGGGTGGCACGGCACACGACCGGGGGTGGTGTTGCCAGCACCACGCTTGGCCACCTATGTCTCCTCACTGCATGTGCTGACACACCATACCAGGTACTCGTTTAAGACTGAGTCGACCTAGAGGAGGCCCATAGTCGAGTGCTAACAACACCATCTCACTCCCAGTCGTTTGATTCACACACATGCATAGCACACCCATACCTATTTCATACAAACACATTCGAAATGTCAGTGACCTTTCCTATGATGTGCATTATTACCATGACATAAATCACCGCTGTTTTTGTTAAGCAGTAAACACGAACTATGTACAACTTGAAAAAAAAAAGAATGTCTCATGGGTCTCTACAAGCGCACTGAACGTTTGAACGTCTAAATCCAGGTGAGGTACAGACATCACAAGCAGACTTCAAAGAACCTAAAAATAACATTGGCGATAACAAAACACAAAAAATATCGCACCCCGAAGAGCCACGCCATGCTCTAGAGTTACTGACACCGGTGTTACGGGCACAATCGTGGCCTGCCCTGGATGTTCATGGTTTTCCATTCCTGTATTTTATGGCGGTAGTGGAAAAAACACTCATGCCTCGCCACAAGAACGTCCGGGGTTCGACTCCCGACTCAGGTTTGTGTGTTCTCTCTCCCTGTTCTTCGCGGGTTTTCTCCAGGTTCTCCGGTTTCCGTCCCTAGCTAAAAAAAACACTCCACTGCAATGTAACCGGTTTTGGCCAAACATTGCAGTGGTAAAAATTTATCTGCAAATTATTCAATTGGGTTTACACAAATATCAACATGGCACTCTACTGCGATAAGTTTGCAGCACCCTCCTGAAAAAGAGTCTAGAAACTCGGTGACGCTTTCCTGGGTGAACAAGCGGAATAGTAATGATCCCGTTGCTTGGTTGGTTATTCATTTCACAGCGCACGGTGTATCACCAAAACTCTCTCTAACCAAACGCATCCCCTGTGTCGGAACCAACAGTCAACCTTTGCTCGGTGGGAGGTCGCTGGTTCTCCTCTGCTGCCTCCATAGTCTGCAACTCTCTTAGCCCTGCCTGCTGTCAACTGCCCCTGTTCAAGTCCAGGATCAAGGCCTTTTATTAAAATCTCATCTCTCCCTGCGATTGACCGCCACTCTCTTACGATAAAACAAACATGCCCACTCGTTCTGCACAGCATCTTGAGATGCAGTCGCATTCAGCCCTTATATAAATTCACATTGGAGGGTATTGAACCAGTCTCACCTAGAAGCCTATGACCAACTGTGTCTCCATAAAATAAAAATGTGCTCATTGTTTCTGGACAGTGTCTTGAGATGTGGTTGCATTTAGACGCGATATAAATGGATGTTGTACATCAATGCATTGTGTTGCGTGCGATGGGAGCCTTTGTGGGTTTTTGTTGCCGTATACTTCACTCTGTCTTCTCGGCCCCGCTGGTGCTACCCTCCTGCCAAGCCCATAAACCCTGCTTCACCGATCGCTCGCTCTCCGCCAACCGTGCCGGCTGGCAAGGCCCCGGGGAGGTGGGCGCACGGAGCTACTCGGCGCGGGTACGCGCTTTCCGCGGGGCCTCGTGGCGAGTTTGCGTGTTCACGGTTAAAGCCTCTCGGGAAACCAGCGACTCGCGTTCCCTCCTGCGGTTGGCTCGGTCACAGAGGGCCGGCCGCGTTTTTTGCCGCGTTACACAAATGGCAAACAGACATCCCGGGGGTGAAGTTCGCGGAGCAAAGGGCACCGCGGACGGCACCCTCACCCGGTGGTGACCTCCAGCGAGTCGCCCCCGCACACGTGCGGCGCGCGTGCTCCGAGCGGTGTTTTTTGTAACATTCAAGACGTCGGGGTTTTAACGCTCCTACCGTCTCCAGGCCTCTAATGAAAGTTTTACGGCTTTTAACGACGTATTACGCGGCCGTTCGGCGAGGACTCGTAAAATAAATATTTTTACACGATTGATTTACATCGTTTTTCTTCATCCGACTGCTGTTTTGGTGCTCGAAAGTAGTACAGTGGAATTAAAATATTAAACTCCTCGGGTGGCTGAGTAACCCCTTGCACTTTCGCTTGTGTGCAGAGAAGAAGTGAATGCCGAGTAGGGGGCCCTGGTTGTGGAGATTGGTGGCAGGGTGGGCACTCAGTGCCTGTCTCAAAGCTCTCTCTGCACAACGGTTCCCATAGAAAATTGCCGGTGTTATGAATAAGACAAGTTCTGTGGATGCCAACACCGATAAATGAAAACAATATTTTTACAACATTTAATTGAATTCGGGGGAAGGAGGTTTCTTCCCCCGACACCTCTTTGTCGTGCTTTGTCACACGGCATAAAGAAGCGAGAATCTACGCAGGAGCGGAACGCAACGGAGAGAGGTCGAGGGGGCATCCGAGGCAGGGAGATGGTGGGCGCTGGGTCGTCCGGGTGCGTCTGGGCGCCGCTCCCACCCCACGCAAGACTGCGACGGGCTTGTGTCAAGAGAAAGATGTATACGGTCGCCCGGAATGTATTAATGCATTTGTGAAATGTATCAAATAAAAGATCACGCATCGGGCTATGCTGGGAATGTGCAGTGCGCAATCGGCCAGGGCAGCCTGATGAGGCTGCCCGGCTCGCCAGAACAAATACTCAGCACGCGATGGGAGAACGGAGGACGGCGGTCAAGCACAAACGATAGCAGTTGCATTTCGGTGGACTCTTCCACGCGGCAGCAGATGGTGCCAGGGGAAATACAAAGGCGAGATTTATTTATCGATACCTCGCTAACAAAACAGGGAGGAATCAGAGAAAAAGCACCGCGGTAAAAAAAAAAACCTCGGCTCTCCGTGCCCCTCTCAAACCTCTCCTCTCCGCACTGCGGTACCCCTGCCCGCAAGGGAAGCGCGTGACGTTATGAACGAGTGGGACGGGCGCCATCGCCCGACGCGTAAAAATGACGGTGTGAAGCTGTGGAGTGCGTGGCCGTGTTCTGGTTACTCCGCCCGTACCCATCGTCTGGAAAACCTGGGGGTATTTGCCGGCGAGAGAGCACGGCGGCTGTGGGTAAACACGAGGCACAGCGCAGGTGGCTCCGCCCGTCCCGCGCTCGCCGCAGCGCCATCTATTTATAGCGGCACAGGAAGCTTTTCACGCCGTCAATCGATGGTCCGTGCACGCCATGTCCTTTATCGGTGATTATCATCGGCTGTGACACAGTGCAAAAAAAACACACAAAACGTTTCCTATTCCAAAATTAAATAAACAGCCGAGCTAATTCATCGACTCGGGAGGCTCCGTGAAAAACACAAGTGCAGCACCGCCGCCAGTGTGTTTTGATGTCCGTCGAAAAGCGTTAAAGCACCGTGTGTTTGCTGCGTCTCGGAGACGCATTTACGAGTGCCCAGGGAGCAAAACGTAAACATGCAACGCGCTCTCGAGCGTTCTAACCGATGCACCCACCGAGTTGGCCATTCAACGTGGCTTCTGCGGATCGAACCTGTTACCCGGGGGACGCTGCAGCAACGTGGCTCTGCCATCGAGGTTTTCCAGAGAGAAGGTGGGCCCGGGTGGCTCAGGGGTCAGCGACACCGAACCGGCATCGTTGAGACCCTGGGTTTGGGTATTAGCCCCCAATGACTTCACCAAATGTATTCAAGTGGAGTGAATTGAAGGTCCCCCAGCTCAGTCACCATGACCGCACACAAAAAATACTCGATAACAGATTGTTTTTTCACCTCATGTGGCCAACTTCCAGGACACACACATGAAAGCGCAGTGTGAATAAGAGGTCACTTTGGAAGAGACCTTAGAAGTAGTTCGGTCACGTTTCCTTCCACAGTCCGAGTCAGCTCCGGATGGACACGTTCTCTCTCGTGGCACGACGTTTGACTGGTTTTTTGTTTTGTATGTTTGAGGGGCGGCACTCAGTGCCCATCTCGAACCTCTCCTCCTCTGCACCGCGGCTTCTCCCCTGGCCCGTAGGGGGAATCGCGTGACGTTACAAAAAACCAACACCGACGCGTAAAAAAACGACGGGCCTGAAGCTGCACGAGCGCGGCGGTGTTCCCGTTACTCCGCGAGTACCCAAAAGAGAAGAGAGAGAGAAGGTGTGGTGGTGGAGTTGGGGGGAGCGACGGGCGGAACACGCACCTGCTCTCGTCCGTCATGTAGCCGGAGGGGCAGCCCGTGACGCACTCCCCGTCGTGGATCACGTACTCGGCGCAGATTTTGTCGCCCCGGCACTTGCGGTTCTCCTCGCGGCAGAACTCGAAGCTCACGCACCGCCAGTTTTTGAAGCGGTACGTGCCCAAGGGGCAGGTGGCCACGCACTCCACGGGGCCCGTGCCCTGGTACGCGCTCGGACCCTGGCCTTGGGTGCCCGGAGAGCTGGTGACGGCGCCGGCGGAGGCGGCGGCCGTGGCGGGCCAGTGGAAGAAGTGGCGGCAGGAGGTGCAGGCGGTGGGGTCGTTGGGGCGGTAGCAGCCGCCCAGGCACTCCATGTGGCAGCACCCGCCGCCGTTGGCGCAGGCACGCCGCCCGCAGTCCGACCGGCAATCTGCTCGCAACGGAACGGCGGACACGGGGGAGGAGGGGGGAAGAGCCGTCGTTAGTGACGTCGTCGCCACTGCTCGGAGAACGTGCAACAGGAGCATCAATGTCATCGTCGCCTCCATCATTATCACCGTTATTCATTTTAACATCTCAAGGACAAACTAAAGGTGTGTCCGTGCCAGAGAGGACGTTCACCACAAAGATGGAGTGATGAAAACAGCTCGTGTGCAAGTGGCTTGTGGAGGTCTTCGTTCAGCATTTGATGGATGATGGCTGATAATGATGACGGTCACACGTATGTCCCCTCTCTTTTGTTGGGAATTCATGGCGCTGCGAGATAGTTACGCATGATCCTGCGTGGTCCAAACTTTGGCATATACACCTTCATCAAATAAGTGGTAAATTAACAATCGCCACTTATGATCGCCGCCGTCGGGAGTCGTTGACCTGCGACAAGCGAGCGGCGGTGCACGCTGGGAAGGCGGTGCAGCCACGCCAGCGACGCGCAGGAACTCATCGCACAAGCGCTCATGCAGCGCCAATCGGCAGAAAGCCGGCGGTGAAATGCCAGTTGGCATTACAGGCTCCGTGCCACGGAGGCGACAGGAAAAAAACAACAGAAATCGATTGGCTTAACAGTTTGCCAGCAAAAACGTAGGCTCGCCAGGTGCAAATCCACGCACGGTAATTGAGCGAGGGCGACTTAGGAAGACTCGTCTACGAGCCAGGCAAAGGTGACACGAAGCCTGCTAGCCTGCTGGTTTGTTTTCAAGTGGCAGCACCACGGACCAGCAGCTCGGCCGCCCCTCCGCGCCAGGGCCGAGCAATGGGCGAGGAGCGCCACGCAACTTGACGAGAGAGCAACCTGCTCGTGCTCGCTCGCACACGCAGGCAGGCAAGGCACGTACGCACGCAACGTACGTACGCACGCACCGGTAATCAGTTTACAGCCCAAGCCGCTTAGGGGGGTTTCGTGGTGGGGGGGGGGGGGGGGGTTACGTGTTGTTGTTTTTGCGCGCGTTGTTAATAAAATTAATAAATTAATTGAAACGCCCAACACAGGAGAGAAAGAGAGAGAGGGAGAAGAGTTGCAGCAACGCAAACCGCTGCTGCCTGGGCGCAATATGCCAGGAATGCTGCCGGGCGGGCGGGCGGCTGCGGCACAACAATCCTGCCACCCCACTCCGCCGCCGCCGTTCGTTCGTCAACTCAAACGAGCAAATTTAATCGGGGAGGGGGGGGGGGGAGGCGTGGGGTTTTCTGGGCCGCAAGCAACTCCGCGACGGTGTCACGCCTCTCAAGCGGCACGCTTTTTGGGAGCGCTTGAAAAGTGTTGACATGCGCCCGAGCTGATAAAACGACGTCAGTTTGCAACAGCACCAAATTCGGGCCTCCGTGGTCAGTCAGTCGGTCGGTCAGTCAGTCAGTCAGTCAGTCGGTCAGTCGCTTTAAATAAACAGCATGAGTGAGGCCTCGCTTCGACGTTCTTAGATCCAATTTCAAATTCCAAAAGTTAAAGAGTGATAAACACGGCCGCTCGGAGGCACAAACAACGCTCGGCGTCGAAGGAATGCCACGCTCGTCGCGGTTCACGTCGCGAATGCGTGCCCTCGTGCACGCACGCACGGGGCAGCCGGAGCAAAAACACACCCAGTCGGCTCAGGCATGATCACACGCTGTCACACACGCTCACACTCACTCAGTCTCTCTCACACACTCTCTCACAATCACTCACTCTCACACGCTCGCTCACACGCTCACGTGCTCACACTCTCACACGCTCGCTCACACGCTCACGTGCTCACACTCTCTCACACGCTCACACTCACTCTCTCTCACACGCTTGCTCACACGCTCACACTCTCTCTCACACGCTCGCTCACACGCTCCCATGCACGCTCTTACGCTCGTTCGCTCCCATGCATGCAATATAAGCATTCCACCACAGACAGCGTCACCCACGCGCCAATTCAGCGATCTACTACCGGTGGACGATGCGGGTGCCGGGAGGTGACGCGTGAAAAACGATCGGCATAAACGTGGCGTCAATTATCAGCATGGCCCGCGAGCGGCGGTGTTGTGACGGCACTGGCTCGTTCGCCCACTCACCCCCCCCCCCCCTGGCACGCCGGCCCGGCGCGCAGCACCCAAGGCCGTGACGACCCGCGGTTTGCGCAAAATTTTGGCGAAGCGAACGTCGACACTGCTGCACGGCACGGGCACGGTCGGCGGTTTTGTTTTTTACGTGGACGACCGGCCGAGGCAGGGGGGCGCAGAGTGACGAGACAAAGAGAATCATCGCAGGAAGCTGGCACCACCCCAGCTGGTGCAACCGAATACCACGGCCACGCTGACGGGAGGCTGTCACGAGCGCCACTTACGGTTCACAGAAAATAAATGGGTGACGTAAGAAAATACTTTTGGGCTGGAGGTTGGGCCAGCCTAAGGCATATACAGTAATTGAAGCGGGGAGCTAAGTTTAGGTTTTTGACGCGTTCAAAGTCTTTATTTAAAGCCTGGTGAGTATCCTGGTGACATGCAAAATAACTTTGAAAAGGTAGGCCTTGTTGATGACTTACAGAGTTTGGCAACTTACAGAGTTTGGCAAATCTAAATTATGGATTGTTTCATTTTTGCATATGGCCATGTTCATTTATTGATCGTCTGTATGTGAATGTCATCGAATCTGTCATTGATTATTGCACTATTTAATATTGTTACTTATCAAATTTGAGGTCAATGGTCACTAGATTATATATTCCCTGTGCTGCCACTTGAATATGCATCACAGTTATAAAAGAGACAAAAAACATTCAAGGGAAAAAAATTACCTTTAACAGCTCTATATATTTTTGGTATTCGTATTTTGCAGAAGTAAAGTTTATTTGCTGTAATGCCACGGTCGTTGTCGTCTTTGGATGGTTCATCCAAAGCCTCATCACTGCGTTTAGAGTTACAAAGCCTCCCATACGTGCAGGTACACGCGCGTGGCGAAATCACTTCAACCATTATAATACACACGGTGTAATTGGGTTTCGAGAATATGGGAGTTGATATTCCCGTTTCTTATTATAAATGCAGGGCGCATCACGACCACTACTCGTATTGTGCATATGTTGAACTTATTTCGCACCGTAAGTAAACAACCGCGGGGAATAAAATAGTTAACAACGGGAGACGCACACGAGCCCCGGGAAAACAGCATCAAGCACCAACCTGCCGCCAATTTATCTCCCAAAGTCCACCCAGAGGGCATTGCGTATTGAGCGATTAAAAGCGCCCAGGTCGTTTCACGCATTCTCATTCTGCCGAGCCGGGCGGCCAGGGGCTCGCGTCACGGCTGCCAAAGCGGGAAAAGCAACTGGGCTTGAGATCCCGACGGCTTCTTCTGCAGAGACGGCGAACACTCGGCCATTCATGCGGGGCGGAAGTGGCAAAGTGGGGGAGAAAAAAAAACACAAGCCGCGACAAGGCGGCCTGTGAAAGATTTACAGGTTATCGTCACAGGGAGGGAGAGAAGAGCGGAGGGGAGGGGAGGGAGGGAACCAGCCACAGGCGCTGGGCAAGGCCAAGGCTAAACAACAGGAAATTAAGAACCACAGGGCGACCCGCAAACAGCGTGAGTCACTCCATGGTACGTGGCGACGTGGCAGGCAGGTGACAAACAGCACCCAGCACACCTGGTGACTCACCTGGCTCGGTGCCAACGCCCCTCGCCGTGTGATTTCCCCCCCCTGCCACCCCCCCCCACCCTCGGCTCGTGGAGGGGGGGGGGACGCGAACTCCGCTCATCCTCGCAACAGCGGGTTTTGGCTGCTAGCCATCGAACAAAGACGCTCACCACATCGCGCACTTTCAGATGCGCTTCCGCAGCCATCTGGAACACACTTTTCCAACTAGACTGAAAAGAAATGTATTTAGAACTCCTTTTTGTGTTTAGTTCAATGCCTTTCCCCCCGCACTTCTGATTAGCTCGGTGGCTACATACGGTGCCAAAGAAGTTCTACAAACATACAGCAGCGGAGATGCTTCCGGTTAGGCGCCGGCTCCTTAGCTCGTTTACTTCACGGCTGACTGTGGCGAGCACGACGCCGATTGCGGCGACGCTGGTTTACAAGCGGGCACGGGCCGCAGCCCGATGGGTTTGTCCCGAATGAGAACGATTCCGGCCACCACGGCGATGTCTACGTCTCACAAGAGCGGATAGATACCTCCCGCTGTCAATAAGTAGAGATCTGAAACTGGGATTAGTTTATCGTTGGGCTTTTACAATTATCACCAAGCTTGTCTTGAGTTTTCTCGCCCTCCGCAAGCTCTAACCTCACATTTAGAAGAGGACTCGGCTCACCAATTGTTTGTTCATGAGATCCTGATACTGTATTCTGAGGTTTTTTCGGAAAAGTCACGTAGGTAAAAGCCGCACCGAACCTTACAATAATAATATCCAGGGGCCTGCCTTCGCTCCTCCCACCCTCATCCAGTATATATACAAGAACTGTTTTCTTGAAATTTCTCTTACTTGATACAGCTATCGTGCTGTGACGGTTCCACCTGAAGACGGAAGCTTGTGTTGCCTACCGAAACGTCGTGATTTTTATTTTATTTTACTTTTATTAATTTAAAATTTTTACCTACGTGACTTTACCAAAAAAACCTAAGAATATGAATCCTTGCAGTCACAAAAGCTTCACATCTATCCTGATACTGCTCGTGTGTGAAACAATATTCTCTGTGCCTGCCATTTAAAAACGAGTCCTTCCCATTGGGGCTTCCAATGGGATATTGAATTCACAACAAGGACAATTAAATTATATTTCCCATTGTTATTTACTTGTCTTGATCCCTCTAGCGTTCACCGTCAATGAACGTGACCCACGTCTCCAGTGGACTGAAAAGTCTCAATGGGATCTCACCTGGTTTTAAATACAGCACTGTGTTTTATTGCTATTTAGTTTTCCTCGTTTGTTTTCTTAGTCCTCCTTTCTGGGCTCACCGTTATTTTTG